AACTATTGTGTTATGATGTGTTCAGGAGGAAAGAACTATTGTGTTATGATATGTTCATTTGAAAATTCTGGATAGTATAGAAGAAGTTTAGAACTAAATCCAGTCTTAATGTTACTAATTTCATAAAATCACAACTATATTAAGTAACTGCTGAGCAATAGAAAAACTTGGGATAGCCATCAGCACCAAGTAGTTCAGTATTTTTTCTGTAATTATCTTAATGAACAGGGTGTAAATTGAAGTCCTGAATTTTCAAGGTTATTATTTGGTACAAGATTAAATATTAAAAAAATGAGGTTGATGTTTAAGTTTATATTTTTGGTTCACAATACTATATTTAAAGCATGTGTGCGTGGCTGTTATCTAGTTGTATGAGGACTGATGAAAATGTGTTTATATTTAGGACTCAATGGTTTAGAAAGTAAACTGGTCAACTCTGTTGGTAGTAGCAGTTTGTCCAATAGCAATTCATCATATTCTGCACCTAGTTCAACTCCACCAGTATCTCCTGTTAGTCAGTCTTCGCCTCCTACTGACTTGAACTCATTTCAACCTACATCACCTTCCGCTGTCAACAACACTTCATCTGCGGCAGCTTCTCTCCCCTCCAGTAGTGTTCTTAGTATTCTGCCGTCCAGTACTGTATTATGTGGTGGTGCATCTGGAAATCTCTCTCAGTCCTCGTCCTTTACTTTATCTAGTAATGGTCGTTTGATGAATATTGATGATCAAGACAGTTTACAACAGCATTCCTCGTGCAAGCTTTTATTGAATGGACCATTACCATCAAAGGTAAATTTTCCAGTGATTTGTGAGTAGTAAGAATGATAGTTCTAACTTAATGACAGGGCGAGAAAACCCATGATTACTTAAATATTTATCGGCATGTTAAATTTTATTACTGAAAGTATTAAGGTTATTCAGATTGTACAAATGTTTAATTTCCTTTATTCATTAATTGTTTGTATTCTGTTCTTTGCCAATAGAAATGTGAAAACTATGACATTCATCTTGAGTTACTTTAAGTACAATGCAAGTATCATGTTCTATAAATCTTTATTTTGTATAAATTGAGTTTATCAAAAGCCATTAAATTTTTCTTCTTGTATTTATCATAATGCTGCTAATTCTCTAAGAAAGGTACAGCCACAGCAAGATTTTCAGCTACTTTTGTTTCTGATACAAACTTCTTGCATACCAATATTTTCATATCACATTTGTGCTACTAAACATAACGTTTGTTTAGACAGAAATGTTAATATAAGTGACACGTATATAAAGGTTTTCTTGTGGAATTTATAACCTTAAACATGTAACATGTAATCAGTGTATGTTTATCGTTTAAAACAAGTTCAGAATTGTAATCTCTTTGTTCATACTTTAAAACAAAATCTACAGATTTGAATCGTACAATGAGTATTCATTATACAGTGTGATTTATAACTTTACACTGTTTAACTTTTACTTGTATGTGTGTGTGTGTGTGTGTGTTTAAAGCCAAAAACAAGCTCGGGTTTTGCAAGACTGAAAGCTTAACCCTTTTATTGTCTTGGAATGTTGTGTATTGTGATGCCAATAGGTGAGTACCATTCAACCTGCATTACAGTA